TGTAGAAATCATGTAAGCTGATAACGAAAAAGAATAATTCTGTGGCGACATTTCTACTTGACAATACAGAAATTTTTAAAATCAGAATTTTGTGCAATCAACACTAGACACGAGAATTATCTTTAGAGACCAATCACTCATCTTACAGCCTACAAAAACGAGTTTACTCCGCCGGAACACAAGTCCGAAACCTGCCTGTAACCATGAGTCTCAAAATTTTTATTTGTTTATATATATTTCTCTGATTATAAACAATTCTTTTGAACATGTCGGTCGCAGGTTTTTTCTCAAATATGACGTCTCGAGAACTGTACTTGATTCGAATTGGTGGAAAATGCTACTCCGCGAGGCCACCAACACCCCCTGCATGCAGCTTGTCTCCCAGGACTCAAACAAATATAGTTCCCGAAACGTCAGGTTTTAAAAAATACGGGCGAGTAAAAATAATTATCGTATTTAAGACTTATTTGTGTGTAAATTTTTCCAGAAATGTCGAAATGAGGCGACTTCCATATTTAAGGCTTTCTATCGCAAGTTGATTGTCGTCTTGGAGCTTCCCATTTCTTCCCGGAATGAATCTGGGCTCGCTCCAGAGTCACAATGGAAGGAGATTCCTGACGCAATCATCACACGAGTGCCTGCTTCCGTGGAACAGTAAATGTACAGCAGAATTTTCAAGAAGTTCGCGAGAAGAAATGTGTATAAAGCTCAGAGAGTTAAGCTTTCGAGTGACGTTCAAACAGTGCACAATGGGAAAATTATTTGTCAACCCGTCCACAGACTTTAACAGCAAAAATAAATTTCTACCTGAAACGAATTAATGGCAAGGCCAACGCAGTAGCCAAAATACGAAATAACGCATTTCTACTTTTTTTTAACAAATCCAAAATTTGATTCAACCATCGGCTGTCTTTCCAGAAATGTTTCTGGCATTATTTTTAATTTGCATTCACATCAAGAAATTCCTTTCTTGAAAGCTGTCATCGAGCGAAACTAATATTCGATCATTGTTTACAGGAAAATGTTAGGTTAGGTTGAACTGCAATGAACGGTCATATCTGCTATCTGCAATTCCTTACTCAGTCTGTCTACTGAGCTACATTAACGGACTCTGAGGTTGTACGTTATAGACACAACATTCGTGGGACGTTACACGGACGGATGGTGTGGTGATCTTCTTATATTCCGGGACTTTCACTTTTTTACTTGAATACGTCTATAGGGAAGGGTCATTCCGCAAAACAGCGTTAGGGAAATTTGTAAGATCCACACCAAACTAACTAACCAACCAGATGGCTTACGGAACCCGAAGGTTCATCACCGAATTAACCAAAGCCCTGTCCTGGACCAACAAAATCCAGTCTCCTTCAACTCCTAACTCCCATAGATCCCGCCTGAGATTATCCTCCCATCTACGTCTAGGTCTTCCCAGCGGTCTCTTCCCCTCAGGCTTCCTCCTGCCTGAGATTATCCTTACATCTACGTCTAGGTCTCCGCAGAGTTCTCTTCCCCTCAGGCTTCCCAAATAGTGGACCCAACCAACCAGATGGCTTACCGAACCCGAAGGTTCATCACCGAACTAACTAAAGCCCT